TAGTTTTGGGGTAAAAATCTATGAATATTAATTACCTAATTTGCATGATAATTAACTGATTTTAAGCTGTTCTATGACTGTTCCGCTGATATTTGAAGAACCACTAATTGGATTTTGATGGAACTCTGCACATGGATGTTCTGAACTAATGCGCACATTTGATTAATTTTGGGTAAAAATCTGTTTATATTAATTACCTAATTTGCATAATGATCAATCAATTTTCGGCTTTTCCACTGATATCTCAAGTACTTAATCATAACATTTCACTAAAACTTGGTACATAGATGTCATATGACACTGCACAGACTTGATAGTTTTTAGGGTAATATCAGTACATATTAATTACCTAATTTGCGTAATTAATTTTCAGCTTTTGATATTTCGAGTAGTAATTATCACGTTTCAATGAAACTAGGTGCAGAGACTTAATTAGTTTTTGGGTTAATGTTTGTGCATATTAATTACCTTATTAGCATAATTAGTTAATTTTCAGCTTTTCACCTGATATCTCAAGTACGAATCATCACATTCCAATGAGACTTGCGACATAGATCTTCTAGGATTATGCAGAGACCTGATTAATTTCGAGATAAATAATTGTGCATATTAATTACCTAATTTGCATAATTAGTTATTTTTTTGCTGTTCTATGGCTGTTGCACTGATGTCTAAAAAACCACTCATCGGATTTTAATGAGACTTTTAAAAGAGTACCCATCACATTTCAATGAACCTAGGACTATACACCATATTAGTTTTTGGTAAATATTTATGCTTCTTAATCACCTAATTAACATAACCAATTAATACTGATATCTCAAGTATTGATCATCACATTTGAATAAAACTTTGTACATAAATGGTCTAGGACAATAGACAGCCTAATTAATTTTGGGTTAAAATCTGTTCATATTAATTCTCTAATTAGTATAATAATTAATAATTTTTTGGTTCTAATCACATTTCAATGAAACTTGGTACATTGTGCAGACCTTATTAGTTTTACACTTAAATCTGTTCATATTAGTTACCTTATTTGCATAATTAGTATTCTGCATTTCCATCAATATCTCAAGTTCAAGTAATTTTGAATTAATTTTTAATGTGTCTCCAATACTCTCAGCACACGGGAGTTCTTTCTAAGCTTTCCTTGATTTTTACTGTAACACAGCACTACAAAAACACTGCTCTTAATTTTTTTTCAATTATGCAAATTTTGATCTTCAAGCTAAAATAAAGTATTTTACTGTACCAGCCATTTGGAGACATGTTTTGAGCTACAAAGTAATATACCTATAGTTGATCTAACAGTGGTCCAAAATTCTGGTGATTACCGGTATAGTATACAAATGAAAAATAATTGTAGATCTAGAGTTAGAGAAATGTATCCAAGACAATGAATCACATGCCCCAAGAATAACCCAAGATACAGAAGTTGCTCATTTTCACTCAGGTGGTAGACTAACAGTCTCTTGATTGTTTTTTGGTGATTTGTCAATAAATAAAATGTATGCATGCATAAGTGCCAGGTTTTGTGGTAACCCTCTCTCTCAAAAAAAAAAAGACTATGAAATCTGCTCATGTGGTGACAATGACATCTACAATGCCTCACAATATCAATTACATGAAGAGCAAAAGTTCAGTGCAGAGCATTGAAATAACTAGAGATTATACGTACAATATATTATGTATGATACGTCTAGTCACTATATGGTGTGAAAAATTAGTAGGCTGAATTTATACTTTTTATATACTTTGAAAATGCAAAGAGGGCAGAACAACAAAATGCATTTTATAGTTCCTACATCAAAGCTTTTATTCCAATGGCCCCTTACAAAAGTTTCCTATAGGATTTTAAAAATCTTATAGCATTTTAGGACTTTTCATGAAATCCTATAGGACATGTATAGTCCCATAGGATTTTATGTAAATTCCTAAAGGAATCAACAAGTCCTATAGGACTTTACACTGCCAGTTTGCATATGTAGAGTAAGTTACCTGGATTCATATCATCCCCTACAAAAATATTACATACTATCATAAGATGTCAACATTGTTTCAAATTGAACTTTAGTCAATCTCATTACAATCAGTTGTATTTTACGGCATGTTTTTTATTAGCTCCGCTCTCGACTTCGTCGAGCGGAGCTTATCATATGAGTGATTGTGCGTCGTCGTCTGTGTCAATGTTTTACTTTTTCGACTTCTTCTTGAAAACTACAAGCCTGAATGCTTTGATACTTGGTGTATATGTACCTTGGGTAGACCTCTCTCGGATTTGTTCATTTCATGATCTTATCTTCAATTCTCTAATTTTGGTGAATATTTTTGTCATTTTTGGTAAAAAGTGATATTTTCAACTTCTTGTTAAAAACCGCAAGTCCAATTGCTTTGATATTACATATATAGGTACTACATGTGGACCTCTCTCAGACTTGTTCATTTGTATGATGATATCTTCAATTTCCCAATTTTGATGAATATATTTGTCACTTTGGTGAAAAGTGATATTTTTGAATTCTTGTTGAAAACTGTAAGTCCCATTGCATTGGTACTATGCATATTGTTCATTTTCTAATGATATCTTCTGTTCTTTAATTGAAATGTGCATTGCTAACAGCGGAGCTATCTCAGCCGAGAGGCTGCTTGTTTCTTTATATTTTGTCTCAATAAATTTATAAGAAGTTTTGTGTTAATGTTTTAGAAATTGATGAAGATTAAAAAAACTTTTTCAAATTATCTACTTTCAATATATTTTGCACACTGATAAAATCCAGAATAGATTTGAGCATTTTTGTTTATGAACTGCTTGTTTCACCAGGCTGTAATAGGGACTATTTTTAATTTGTGAATAGCATTTCAACAGATTAGATGTTTCAACCCTGCAATTGCTTGTAAAATTAGATATGCCACTAGGATGGGCTAATGAGCATTAGCAAACTTCTTACTGAGTGAATTGTTATGCAAATTAGCAATTATCTCGGCTTCTTTTTAGTGCACATCCCAGAACTTTAAAAAAAATAGCTCCTAGACGCTTTGACCTTTTGTTTTGAAATTTTCACAAATAATTGACAATGTGTTTATCTTCAAAACGCTGTCGGGACATTGTTTTTGGTTGAACAGTGTTACAACAATCGTACAGACAAATAGCCTGGGTGTTAATTTATGCATAAACTTGAAGTAGTGAAATTTAAGCTGCTGCCCTGCAAAATTGACAACTGGTAGACAGTTTTCAAGACGGCACTTTCTTCATAATAAACAGATGTACCCATGAAACAGATGCATGATTTATAAGCTAATTTTTTTTTAAATCACTTTTGACCAAAAAAGCACATTTTTGTGCACATTTCAAACTAGTCTCCATAAAAAAAAAATACTAACAACATTTTAAAATTCATACAATAAGCTTTCCGAAAATATATAGTTTTGTGGACAAGGGAGGTCATCTTGGTTTCCTAATTAACTAATTAAAATACCTGTCAGGTAAACTGCATCTCCACCTTAAGTAACAAATCTAAGACTAGACCGACTAATTGTGCAAATTAGGTAATTATTTTGCATGAATGTGAACCCTCAATCATGTCTATGCATTGTCCTATAACATCTATGTACAAAGTTTCATTTAACAGAAATGTGGTTAGTACTTAAGATATCTGTGGAAAAGACATACACACACAGACAGGCTAACAGGCAAGATTCCTACTGTCTGTCTCGCACACAGGAGTGACAAATGTGATCGCCCAAGTTTTGTTCAATAGGCAAAAATAACTTCCAGCTACAATAATCCACAGTATATGTATTGCTAGGAAAACTATAGGTGTCCATCCATAACAACAATTGACTGCCCCTCTCGAGTTCCCTAAAATGTCCCATTCTGCAGTGCGAGGACGCAAAATATAGAGAAAATTTGTCTTGCTATAATGTCTAAAGCAGAAACGTAGTGTTAAAGGCATTTACATTCCAGTAAGAGTGAAATTTATAAATTTTGCTGCTCTTCAATTTAAGATTTTACAAGGATGACAGTCCCCATGTTCTGATTGCTGGATTCCTGGAACAGCTTTATATAAAAAAAAAAAAATAATTCTTGTTTACAATGTATTGTTCTCTTGTTATTGTTATTATAAAACAACATGTTTTTCTGAAAGAATACAAAAAAAGATTTGACACATAAATGTAATATCCTAAAATGAAACCACTATATTTCTTCATATAACATCTTCATATAATTCTAATAAACTGGAGGTGCAGTTACCCCACTGTAAGTGCCCGATTACAGTGGAAATTGATTCAACTTTCTTTTTTACAAAGAACAAGAAATATCCCAGTGAAGCATGACATCTTATTAGTTGGGGGGGGGGGTCATCCCTTTGAATGTTGGGAAAAAATTCCTGAACCACCTTCATGGAATATGGTTGAAGAGTAATACATTCAGAATTCAATACAATGTAGACAAGTACAGAAGTTTTATTCTCGTTAAATGTGGTTACATAGATGGTCATTTAGCTTGTCATGATTGTGAAATGAGGCATTGTGGTTAGATGTTGAGGGCGCTCTACTTTCCTGACTACTGTAAATCTATTTATTTTAATGTTTTGAGCATATTCACCATGTTATAATTTCACAAATTTGTCAAATAGACAATGACTTTCATAGTTATTTTACATGTTCACATAGATTTAATTTAGGGAAATTAAAACCCAGTGAATAATTAATGCATTTACAGTATATATTTAGTTGAAAGGCCAAATTTGGCATTAGTGCAGAATAAGAGAATAATGTATGTAGTAGTTGTGTCATATCCACAATACATGTATGTATACAAGAATATACTCTCCACTCTCCATATATACCGGTAAATATGAAATTACTGTATATGCAGATGTATGTTTTTTTTTTATTGAAGCAATATGCCAATCAGCAGGGGAAATTTTATTATTAATTATCTTCAAAATTAATGTCAATGCAAAGCACATAGATACATTTATTTATTTCTTATTTGCACACAATGTAAATTCCTCTGGACAATCAGGACTATTGCACAAACGATGAAGATGTTGTTACACAAGATGATACGAGAAATATACAATGTAAAAAGGGACTTAAAGTGAGTCATCTCACTGCATTGTTTTCTAAGTGGGTCCCATGCTACTGTTAAAACATTGTTTACATAAAATTAGAACTTGCACCATGTTACACAATTCATTCAAATACAGGTGTTCAGCTGTTGTGTGGATCAGAAAGTCAAATTATTTGCAGTACTAATGTAAACATACATGTATCAAATAATGACAAAGCTGGTCCAGTAACTGGAGTAGATGGCTCACAAAGAAGTTTAGAAATAGTTCATAGTCAGCAGTATCATAACTGAGATGGAATATGTTTTTCATTTTCCTCCAAAGTAGTACCTAACAGGTGGTCCGGGAACGTCTTCACCCTGTGAGCTTTCAAATGCCACTGTCAAATCGACGTACTCTTGTTTCGGTGTTGGTTTCAGTAATTTTATCATCCTATCAAGTAAATCAAAATAATTACGAATGATGTACAAGCAAAATTTCCATAATCATAATCAAACAGAACAAAAACAGAATCTGTGCCAGTTTGTAATTTATACATGTGATCCAGGACACATTTCAGGGGAAACAAGCATTGAAAATCTTCATAGTTGGTGAAAAACTACCAACAATCTTAATGAATGTATTAGTCATAAAATCAAACCCCTTTTCATATCACAATGCATAAAATATAATACCATATTTGCTTTATTAGTAGCACATGTTCATACATAAATGACAGGTGTTTCTATGGTCCAATGTAAATTAATAATTCAGTACATGTATATAACAAATTTGATTTTTGGGTTTATAATTCCTTCTATTAGAGATGTGCTTATAATAGAGCAAATACTGCATCATGGTAAACAAGATTACTTAAAAGTTTATGAAAGACTTACGTTTGTGGGAGTCTCTTATTGTGCATTGGCATTATGGGTACATACACCATCTTGACTCCATGTACAACCATTGTAGCCTCTAGACCATATGTAGTCTACACACATAGAATTGATTTTTCAATTAGGAATACATTCTTAGATCATTAAAGCAAAACATTAATTTAACAGCATACCGGTAATATACAATTCATTGTCAATGACAAGTATTCATTCAGTTTTTAGTGCATGTAACTGTCAAAATAATGCCAAATATTTAATTAAACTCATGTGACAGACAAAATACAATGTGAGCCAGTATATTTGTGTGATTCCTTCCTCTATTCTGCCAGTGACATTCATAATGCATTTCTAGCACTAAAATAATGATCAGCCATCTTGAATCAGATTCAATATGGATCAATTTGGACCCAAAACAGCATTCATTCAAAACAAAATGGCTGCCAATCAGCCATTTTTAATTCAATCTGAATGTGCCTCAAAACTCTATTATGTTCAATGGACAAACCAAGTTTGAATGAAATATGTCAAAGCTTGACTGAGATTCAGTTCCTGAATAGCAGAAATGATTTTTTAGCCCTTAAATGGCCACCATTTGGCCATCTTGAGTTGCATCATGAAAAAAATGCATGTATGTATGTACGTATGAAGTTTGAATGAAATCAGCCCAGGCATGTCTGAGATACAAGTGCTGATGGACACATGGTCACACACATATGTGGTAACCCTGCTTCCTGACTATGTCTAAAAAACCACACTGTGAAAAACAAAATATCTGATATTCTGATTTAATGATAATCTAAGACCTTACTTATTATGCATCTTACCTTGAAATATTTCAGAAATTCTTTCAATGTATAACTTTTATTCCCCTTAACCTGCCATTTGTCCCATAATGTAAATGATAAGTCTGTGTGAATTTGGGTCTTCTCAGCTTGACCCGGTTCAGAGAATATCACTGATGGTAAAGCTAGATTCAAAAAACAATTCTTGTAATGTTCCAGAGGTGATTTCTTCACTATTTTTATAAGTTCCATTGTTACCTGGAGGAATAAAACATTTTACATTTTGTATTATTATATTTACCGTATTACCCCGGGCACGCGCCCCTCCCTGGGCAAGCGCCCACCCCCCTGTTTTCACAAAAGTTACATGTTGGGAACATCCTCGGTTAAACGCCCAGGGTGATTTTTACCCAAGAACGGGGTCAACAATAAAGTTTTATTTGTCAAAATCGAACGCGTTTGATTTATTTAAATAGTGTGTTTGCTACGGTAGTTCGCTTTTTAGAGTGTGTGGTGGCCCTGAAAAGTTTTGTTTGTGTTTTTACGTGAAAACTCATTGGAACTTAACGACGTAAGATGAACCACGCAGCATGTGGCGCACATGTTTTGCTTTCTCTTCATTCACAATGAATCCAATATTGCAATAATCCATACCTTGGTGAGTGGTTTGAAGCACTTAGCTTTGGTTTCAAAAC